GCACGTCGGGCCTGTGCAGCGAGTTAATCATGAACATGTGCACAGACCAAGACCCGATCCCGTTGACCATCGTCAGCATTGTGAACAACGACTTGTCGTCCATATTTACAATCGCCGAGTCCGACAGAATGCCGTTCTGGTACTTCCGCGCCAAGTCGTGGAGGTAACTCGCTTTCCGGCCCGAAATTCCGATTTGCCGGAGCTGCTGTGGCGTCTGGGCGAGCACGATTTCGGGTACCACGCAGGCCTCGCCGCCGCACAGCGCGATGAAGCGCGTGTAGATCGACGTGCCCGCCTTGTATGCGAGTTGCTGGTAGAGAATGCTGCGGGTTAGGGCGAGGAAGGGTGTGTGGAAGTTGTCGAAGGTCGGCCGCGGGTGGCGGTCGATCAACGGAGCTAGGAGCGGATCGGCGTTTCGGAGATAGCGAATCGCCGTCTCGATCTCTCCCTCGCAGGAGAGCGGCCGCGCTACGATTTTGGGCGCCGCAACGGCGCGCTGCGGGACGGTTTTGATCTTGGAGGCCTTGGTGGCGGCGACGGGTTTGGGGGTTTCGGATACGGCTACGATTTGATGGGAGGAATTGGGGTTGGCGGTGTCGGGCGAGAGCTTCCGGATCTTTCGGGGGCGGAACGGGATTTTGGAAGGGGGGGAAGAGGTCTTGGACGGAGCATTGCTCAGTTCGGTGGGTGTGGGGCCGACTTGAGCGATTGTGGTGTCGTCGATGGAGTCATGCTGCGGCGGCGGCTGAGCCGGAGTCGGAGTCTGGGGCTGGTCTTGGGCTTGGGTTTGGACCTGGGTTTGCTCGCCCATATGTGGTCAGTGTGTTTCAAAATCAATGGATGGGTTGATTGATAATACGTAGGGTGGTGGCTGCGTCGGCGTCGGTGTCGGTGTCGGTGTCAGCGGAGGTGGCGGAGTGCGCGGTGGTTCAGTCGGAGGATTGAATTGGAGACGTCGAAAATTGGGAGTGTTTGTGTGTAGAGAGAGAAGGGAATGTAGTTTAAGAATTGACTGTAACGAGTTTCCGAACGAGTTTAAGCGAGAAACTCAGAAGTCTTAACTCAGTCGGATTTGTATTCTTATGTTTTTATTTCTCCTCTCTCTCTCTCTCTCTCTCTCTGTCACCGCGAATCCGAGAGTCCTTTAAGAAAGCAACAGGTGGCGTCCGTTTTCTCCTCCGACAAGCAAAAAGTTCATCTCTATAATAATAAGGATAAATTGCAGCAATGAACCTTGTAGTTTACTCAGCTTTTGCTTTCGTCCTTATAATTATGTTGTTTTACTTTTGTCCTTGTAGATTAGTTCCGTTTTCACCATTAGCCCAACACATTAACTTCATCTTGTCTTCTTATTTATACATATTGGTTATGGTGGATCATGAGTGGTGTGTTCCCCGTCCGACGTAGTTATAATGATCATGCGTAAGACAATCTCCCAATTTCGAATGTTCAGGGGATGACATGTGTTTTGAAGATCTAGGCCCTCTCTAAACCAAAAGGCATGGTCGCATCATGAACATAAGTTTTTCAGTTATAGAATGTAATAATCAATAGTATATGTTTATTAGATTTACGAAGTCTTTTCCTATGTTTTGTGCAAATTAAAATCCAAGTCATATTCAACCACGTATAGAGGTTGGTGGATATCTTGGTCCAAAATCTGATCTACATAAAGTATACGTGAATAAAAATAGACGCTGGAGTTAACGGATTAGACCAATAGTCGAAATGAAACCAAACTATGAGGACAAATATGAAATAAAATAACCTACAGGGATAAAAGTGAAATATAACTATGCTACAAGGTGGATTTCTGCAATTTAACCAAATGAAAAAGTTAATAAATAAAGAAATCCAATTAGGGCTTTGGTGTGCGACGCTCCTCTGAGCGCGTGTTGCACGTAAGTAATCATTGTGCTCTTGCAAAATTGCAGTACAAATTGATTGTTCTTTTTATTATATTTTATTAAACATGCCTAATTCGATTAATAGTGACCTTGCTCGTTCATGGAGTTGTATTTAGTATCTCTAAGAGGAAATGATCATCTTCGAATCCCTTCCTTTTAATCATTAAATCAATAAATTTGTATCATTGAAATTTGATTTAATGACTACAAATAGGGATTCATATTAAAAATTATAATAACTTCAGCTGTTGGTTCAATTGCACGGATTCCCTGATTTTGTGGATTAGGAGGAAGGGATCCGAAGAACATCTTTTTTCCCTCTAAGAAATATGATTATCCACCGTTAGTCAGTAATGTGGGTTGGCTTGGATTACTTAGTGTTGCGCGCCTAGGAGGGCAGCGCGCTTTGGGATGCGGAGGAGCTATTATCGCCCAGCCCCCTAACCTAATGCGGCACCGGTTTTTGAACTGTAAGGAACCGTAGCATGGGGAGGACGTCTAATCCTTTTGCCGCCGCAAGGCTGGCTAATCGTACGCAGCAGGCTTGAAGACCCCTGGTTCTGGAAGGCACATGAGTCCGAACGCTATGTTGAATGTGCGATCGACACTACACTACGTAGGTACCTGTGCAGGTGAGGCGTCGGTCGGTCCTAGAAACGGCGGCAGCGGCGCGAGGAGTTAACGACCGGACGTGCTGCAACTTAGGGATCACCAGGCAACTCTTTCGCTCTATAAGGATTGAGATACCTCATGTGATAAAAGTTTAGATCTTAAATTTTTATGGTGAAGTTCGTTATGTTTTAGGCTTAGCATGAATGTTTCGTCAAAGAGTTTAAGTTTGTCATGTTTAGGCCCAGCGTGAATGTTCTGTCAAATTTTTGTTAATTCTTTACACATACGACTCGTATATAAAGTCTTTTTTACGACAAGTACTACCTTCCGACTACGTTATTACCAAGTGAACTGTTAATCCGGTTAAGCCTATTAAATATTAATGGATCGGTTGTACAACAATACTATAGAGTGAACTCGACTGCCTTTTGGACAATTAGGGCCCATTATCAAAACAAAACTTTGGAAATGTACTGTGTATTGGGCCTTAAACAACACAATTTAACAGGCTTAAACCCAAAGATCTTGTCATAAACAGAACTAAATTTCCGGCCCCTCTCCTGCATATCAACGCAAAAGGCAAAAAAAAATGGTTGAGATTTAAATCAAATCTTATTCGTGAAAAACAATGCGGACGTCAAAAACAATTTCCATTCAAAACTTCTTATTATTAATTGATGTATTTAAAATATAAATGAATAACAGAGTTGATACATTATAGACATAAGTAAATATTAACAAATAAATATACAATTCGTAACATGTGAAGATTAATAATATTATGTAACGATGTGAGTGTCATACGAAAATTTCCACACAAAGGATAAAGTTTTACACATGTAATTCTCATGTAACCTGGTGCAATTAAAGAGGGTGGTTTTAATCTCAAATATCATCTCCTTGGTATAAAACTAAAGAAAAGGGGGTTAAAAACTCATTATATTTGATTGGCACAATGATAGTGTCGTGTTATGTATATATAATTTTTAATTATATAAAATCATATTATTGACATAAAATGTCACAGTAACGATCCTTCGTATTATAAAGTTGATCTCTATGTATATTGGTACTAAAAAAGAATAAGATGAAATTTGAAAAAATCTCACTAACCAAAACATGATGACTCCGTTTGCGTATAATTGGACCAACACGAACGGTTTTGTTTGGTATCCACGTGCACCATGCATGCAAGTAAATTTATTAACAACTGATTTTCATACTCTTCATTTTTTTCGATCTTAATATTATATAAATAAAAAATAATTAATAGATAAAGATAGTGAACTTTAGAAGAGACATTGAAGGCGTGAAAATAACAACAACAAAAAATATCTATTTTACATAGGACTCATCGATTTTAAATGTACAACACATTACTCGAACAACATACGAAAGTTGGCACTTGTAAGCTCCAAGTTTTGATCAAGACATTGATTGTGACTCTTATGAAGGGTGCCTCTAAAACTAAGGACTCTTAGGTATATGATTAGAACTGACAAATCCAACTCAGTAAGTAACCCAATATTGTAATCAGGTGGTTTTTCAAACTAAGAAACTAGCTGTGCCAAAGTGAGACCACGCCGACCTAACCTGTGAGCCACTGCATTGGCATCACGTCGCACAAATTGGCCTTCCACTGCTGAGCAGATTGTAAAAGCCTCCGTATGTCAGTTAATATATGGCCAAAAGGTCCATAACCACGTGTTTTAACAAGTTAAAAGTTGTGAGTTTAAGATTAAACAAAAAGAATTAGGGCGAAATTAGTAAATAAATTTAGAAGCGTGGAAAAGCACGTGTTTTTTGTTTGTTTTTGAATTGGTGGGTACACAATAAATAGTTAAATGATAATTGATGAAGTAGAAGAATCCAGAAGGTGAGCGAAATATGAGCAACTTGATGAGATACTGAAAGGACGGACAATAATAAGTGATATTGTCTAATGATAGTACCACTGGCCCACGACTACAAATATCAAGTTCACACACATGCGAATTTTGAATTACATCTTCCAAATTTAAATTTATTCAACAAAAATAATTTTCGATTTTTTTTTTAACTTTATTTAATTTTTATTTAATTTTTTAATTTTTTTTTGAAAATTTTGAATTACATGTTTCAAATTTAAATTTATTCAATAAAAATAAAATAAAATAAAGAACAAATTGACACACATGCGATAGAGGGAAAAGTTGCAAGTTTTGTTATAAGCGTGCAGAGACTACAATGCAGGGAGAGTTTCACACACGGAGACGTGGCAGAAGGAGAACACGGTTGTACAGTCATACCACGAGACTGGAGGTAACGGCAAGGACCGCAGTCGTACAGTAGAGCACAGCAGTCGCACAACGCGATAAACAGACGATTGGACACAATAATGATGGAATATCCATCTTTTTATTTTATTTTATTTTTCCGGTTTTTTTTTCGTTGGGGGGATTTCGTCGACCACTTTCTGCGCGCGGCGAGAAAGCTCTGTCACTTTCTGTTTCTCGGATCGGAGAAGGCGAAAAAAAATGAGTTTCCGGGAAGACAGTGAAGAGGGGAGGGGCGATATGCGGAAGCCCTTCCTCCACACTGGAAGTTGGTACCGCATGGGTTCCAGGCAATCCAGTATGATGGGCTCGTCGCAGGTGATTCGAGATAGCTCCATTTCTGTGGTCGCTTGTGTCATGATTGTCGCTCTGGGTCCTATCCAATTCGGCTTCACCGTAAGCACAGCTCTTCTTCTTCAATCGTTTTCCGCCATTAGAGAACCTTGAGCTATTGGGTTTTAGGCAAGCTGATTGCAGAGAGCTCAATTGTACTTTTTTTTTTTTGTACTCATTTGTGCTGAATTAGGAATCATTGTTTTGGGTTTTGCAGACTGGCTATTCTTCTCCGACCCAATCAGCAATCATCAAGGATCTAAAACTTACAGTATCAGAGGTTTGAATCTCAGTGTTTTGGCGAATTGGGTTTTTTTTTTTTTTCTTATTTAATTTGAGTTCTAACTATTTATTATCATCTGGGTCAGTATTCGCTTTTCGGTTCTTTGTCGAATGTGGGAGCTATGGTTGGAGCTATAGCCAGCGGTCAGATTTCTGAGTATATTGGACGCAAAGGGGTAGGATTCAGTCACTTGTTCTTTTCCTTATTAAGCAGCTTTGATTAATTCTAATCCGGGGTTTTGTTAAATACAGTCTTTAATGATCGCGGCTATTCCTAATGTTATCGGTTGGCTTGCCATATCATTTGCCAAAGTGAGTTTTCATAACTTCTGAAAAATGCAGCCGGGAAAATGCTGTCTGATATCATTCTTTTTGCAGGATTCTTCTTTTCTCTACATGGGAAGGTTGTTGGAAGGATTTGGCGTGGGAATAATCTCCTACACGGTAAATTCAAGTTGTTTCAAGTGTTTCTGTTGTCGAAAATGTGTAGTCTGGAACTGTGAGAGTACTGATTTGGTTTGATCATTGCTAGGTGCCTGTATATATAGCTGAGATAGCACCTCAAAACTTAAGAGGCGCTTTGGGTTCAGTCAATCAGGTTGGCCTTGTTTAGTAGCGTATTTTTACCATGAGTTGCTGTTAGTGGTTGCTAACATCTGTCTCTAATCAGATTATTTAAAATCCTTCTTCTGTAGCTCTCTGTAACGATTGGAATAATGCTGGCTTATGTGCTTGGACTTTTTGTTCAATGGAGGATACTTGCAGTTCTGGGTAATCTTCTTAAAAAGTCACTGTGGTGTTCACATCACTTGTTCTTACCTGTCATGGATGTAGGATTTTCTTAAACTCGATTTACTTGAAAGAATTAGGAACTCGTTTGCATAAAGGACATCTTATTTGATATTTCAGAGAACACTTTAAACCTGGCTCCATTGCCTCGCTTACATTCCCAAGCCAATTAACTTTTTCGGCACTGTCATGGTTAAACCTTTGACATCCATGGAGTGGTATTTGGTTTTCTATAACAACTTCTCTATAGCCATAAGCAAAGACAAGTCATGCTATTAACTTTAATTACATTCAGTGAAATTTTAACTTCTTATCTTCCTTTAATGAAGGAAATTAATTATTCAAGAGTACACTACTAACAGAAGATTTATACCCGGGTAAAATTTCAGGAATATTGCCTTGTACGATATTGATACCTGGGCTCTTTTTCATTCCAGAATCTCCTCGATGGCTGGTAAGTTCACAGAAACCTCTTGATCACAGTTACAATGCTAAATATGATATCACGGTCGTCTTTTTTGGTTTTGACCTTAACAGGCAAAAATGGGCATGACAGAGGATTTTGAAGCTTCTCTGCAAGTTCTCCGAGGATTTGATACAGATATTTCGGTTGAAGTCAGTGAAATCAAGGTACAAAGCCATAATTTCCTGATAATGTCATTTGAACTATGCTATGACCACATCACTCTTGGAAATTCACCTATGTAAATAATTTCTCTGATATGTAATGGGCAGAGGTCTGTAGCATCAACATCCAGAAGAACAACAATTCGGTTTGCACAGCTTAAACAAAGAAGATATTGGCTTCCTCTAATGGTATTAGTAATAGTCCAAAAGAGTTGATTCTCTGATTTGGTATCCTCTAATCCAAAATGTGATCTATATGTCAAAAACTAACTGTTTTCACACTGTTCCCTTGCAGATTGGAATTGGTTTACTTGTTCTTCAACAACTAAGTGGAATTAATGGTGTTCTATTCTATTCCACTACCATTTTTGAATCTGCGGGTAAGTTTCCCCACTTATATGAAAGAATATAGTTGGGATGCTCTACGGAACCATATGAATACTTTGATATCATTTGCTACTTGTTTCCTTTGACCCAACATGAAGTGTGTGCATCTACCACCTTATTATTGTGTACATAGTACACTCATAGATACCTGTATTACATGTATGTCGTAGTGGAAAACTGACTGGAAGTCAGATTTATTTAATGTGCAATGGCTCTTATCAGTTTTAGTGTTTGAACAGGGATTTCGTCAGGTAATGTAGCCACAGTTGGTCTCGGTGCTGTTCAGGTAAAAGCATGAAGATGACTTCAGAATTTGTTTCTTCTCGCACTCAATATTCTCAATTTGCAAACATAACAAGAATCTTGATGCATTTAGGTCATAGCGACTGGGGTGACTACATGGTTGGCAGACAAAGCAGGCCGTCGTCTTTTGCTTCTTGTGAGTTTGACTTCTTCTTTTCTTTTGTCAATATTGAGCCGTTTGTATATTATCTGTTTGGAGTAGATGGAGAAAATTTATACTTTTCATTGTAGATCTCTTCTGCTGGAATGACGATTTTCCTCCTCATTGTTGCGATAGCATTCTACATAAAGGTAATACCTTGCATGTTTGTACAAATATCTTATGGCTATGTTATTCTTTTGTGTATATTCTCAAAAAGGAATTCCACCTGATCGCAGGATCTTGTGGACATTGATTCAAATGTTCATAGCATATTGGGCATCATATCAGTGGTTGGAGTTGTGGTATGTAAATTTTTTAATATCACGAGTCAAAGGATAGTGCTTCTTCGTTTTTTCCTATACATAATTTCCATTGTCGCGCGCTATTCATGCAGGCCATGGTAATTTCATTCTCTCTGGGTATGGGAGCTATTCCATGGCTTATAATGTCTGAGGTATGCCAATAATAGAGTCACGTCAGGTGTAGTGTTTCATGACTTGCATCGAGCACGAAGTTTTGCTCTTATAACTTGTTGCTGAATATTGTTTTTGGAACATCTAACAAATTGTGAATTGGCAATGCAGATTCTGCCAATTAATATAAAAGGCCTTGCTGGAAGCATAGCAACACTTGCCAATTGGTTCATGTCCTGGGTGGTCACGATGACGGCAAACTTGCTACTGGAATGGAGCAGTGGAGGTATGCCTCCTCTTATCTCTCTCTCTTATTCTCCGTCTCCCTCACTACAGCTGGTAACATGTCTAAAAAAAGCTGTGGTTACATCCCAAAGAAATGTGGAGACCTGTGCACTTGCCTTCTTACCGTTCGTTGTACTGTTGAGTAGTTTTGTTGATCTGTTACATTTTTCGGGCTAATGGCTTTGGTTCCACTTTCAACAGGAACCTTCACCATTTACATGCTGGTGAGTGCTTTCGCCGTTGTATTTGTTTCCATTTGGGTTCCGGAGACAAAGGGAAGAACTCTGGAAGAGATTCAATGGTCCTTCAGATAAGGTTTTCTTTACCGTTCTTTCATACTACTTGTTCTCTCCTGCTGGAAGATACAGAGCTGCAGTCCCATTTTGAGATTATCCTACAGGAACTGTGCAAACGTGCATTTTTCGTGAATTTCTTCAGCCAGCACTTGGTGTTCTCTTGCCACATTCATTGCTTGTTTGTATCTTTCGATAGGTAGTTATAAACTCACAACTGTCTTACTGTTTTATTGACTTTCCATCGCCCTCGTATAGTCCTTTGTGTATGTAAGAACTCGATCGGTTTCCATGACTTCCATGCCAGCAGCTTTCTTCGGTCATAAAACCTTTCCAGTTTTATATTCATACCATGTAAAGATTTTGAATTCACTAGCACGGGTAAAGGGTTTATTTATCGTTCAATTTCACGTCTTAAACTGAACATTAGTAGGTTTTGGCGGGCGCAATTTATTGGTCTGGAATACCGCCACCTCGATTATTGGCCAGGGCTACCGCCACTCCGGCTTTACTCTAGGAATGAGAATCCATAAACAGGCGTGGACCATTTAACGTCGTAAATGGGCCTAGGCCCAAGGGTCCACTGTTACTGTTAGTTTGTGTTTGGAATAACTAGTGAGTAATTTGGAGCAAGTCCCTGTACTTATCTACGAGTTATATTTTAGCCCCTCAACTTGTTTCTAGTTCATGTAGTCCTTCTGTCGGTTTTTATCTGTTAAGCTTGCGTAAATTTCCCTATTTGAATCGAAATTGGGAGTGAAGAACGATTTAAATATCCCTTCTCTTTGTCCAAAGAGAACTCCATTTGATTACTATATGAAGACGACAGTTAAACGACATAAAGGTGTATTAATGTTGATTAAACTATAAACGACGTATAAGCAGAAATGACAAGGGCTTACCTGCACCGAATATGCCACGGTGATGGTAGTGCACACCAATAACGTTATTGTCATGTGTTTCAGCTTTCATATATGAAAATATCATAGTAGTTTGAAATACCGTCGCAGTGGCATGTTTGGGAGGATGACAGACCTTGATAAAATAAGGGAGGTGAATCTCACACGCTATTCTTCACCTCTCACATGTCCCTCTTTATTTCTAGCTATTGAATTAATTTTTTTCTTTTTTGAGAGAAGTACGATATTTATTGATATAAGATAAAACGTACAAAGAGGGGGATAGTGTGCTTAAATATGCCTCGATAAAAACTTTGCCGGAGCTTTCAACCCGGTTGAATCAAAAAAGAGCATCCCGCACGAACAACTAACTTTACCCATCCTCACACCAAGGAAGAAAACAAGCAAAATTATAAAGAATTGTCTTCCGTAAGAATTTCTGCCAATAGCTTAGGAGCAGTCCCCCTCCATTGAAATTCATCAATCTTGGTAATCCCAGATCGAGCAAGTCGATGGGAATTGGCCTCCTTTCGAACATGATTGAGCTTAACATGGGCAAGTTCTAGCAAAAACAAGCGGATGCCATTGATAATGGGGCCCAAAATAATTCAAATAAAATTAACGAAAAATAATTGAAGTACCACTCTAAAATCTGTATGTTTGTATCCATAGCGAGATGAATCTACAGACAGGGCACGTGCCACCTCTGCACACACCTTCCAGCCTGTGCATCCGTGTCTCCTTATCTCAATTTTGGAAAAGCTAAAAAAAAAAGGTTTGAAATTCATTTAATAAGGGTATTTGAAGAGATGGAATTAGACAAAAGCACGTGCCTGACCAAAAAACCAAAAAAAGGTAAAAGCATGCGCGGCAATTGCCCACTTTTCAGGATAAAAAAGGACATAAAAAGCTCTATTAGTCAATAATTGCCACCAACCTAGATTTGCACCACGCATAACATGTAAAACAACAGTTAAAAGCTAACTCTACGAAACTCTCTTCTATCTAGTATGGACCGACTCATAATAGAAATCGAATTTATGGTCTTTGGATTCTTAGATATTAAATCCTTGGTTGAGGAATCGACGGTCATGAATCTTGTTCCATTCTAGAATTTTTGTAGATGAAAATTTAGTAGTTTCAAAATTCGGTCTAGCTACTGAGATTTAAAACCTCCAATCGACAAGATGCCGAGAGGGTGCAACTTCGGATCTCTGTGTGACATAACTTAAAATACTTAAAGCTAATAATACAAACACTTGAAATAAACCTACTCAATTTCTTGTCATGAACTCTCTTCCACTAGTAGTTGGAAGTAAACTTTGTGAACCATATCAATATAATACCTAATTAGGTCACATAAGCACAGAGAGTGAGTATGAAGCTCGTCCGAAGTGCGTAAAATGCTAAAATGTACGAAACATGCATTTCGAAGATCATTAATTTCCTCACTCATAAGCAGAAGGCAGTGCTACTTTCTTCTAGTAATTCAATACAAAGCAGGCCGAATTCAGCAGTGGTTATGTTCATGTGTTGTGTGTGTGTTATCGCTGAGGTTTCTTCAATCCACATCGTGAGCCCGAAAGCGAAGAGATCAAGATCAGCAGAGTTTTGTGTAACGCGGCAACACAATCAGAACTCGACCGTGCACAAAACGTTCATCAGAATGAGTTTATTTTATTGACTATTGAAAACGGAGATTCTGATACAAGTTGAAATAACTAAAATCGAAAAACTAAACTCTATATGTTGACATACAATTAGAGATACATCCAACATGGCAAATGGGAAGCATTCACAATACAAAAAATCCGCAATGCTACAAATTGTAACTTCCCTGGACAAATGACTGAAACGTATGCGATAATCGAGCACCAAAGACCACAGTTTAACATCAAGGATCTAATACAACAAAAACCAAATAAAGTACAACATCAAGAAGTGAAAAATGCAAGATAGACTGGTTAGGCTAGTAATGGCAGATAAACGTGAACGGAGAGAGTCTAACCAAAAAATGTTCCTGAGCTAGGAAACTACTTTCACAGGATACTTGTCAATGCAGTCTTCCCAAGGACCATTACGAGATGGCTTCACATTCCGAAGCGCCTCCCAGACCGCACTGTTACATTTAAAACCACTTCCAAAGGCAATCTGCCAGACACGGTTGCCCTTGCGCATCCTCCCCTTGGCCTCCATATACGCCAGTTCATACCAAATGGAGCTCGACGAAGTATTCCCAAACCGGTGTAGAGTCATCCGAGAAGCCTCCACATGTATAGGCAGCAACTGCAGGTTCTTCTCCAGCTCATCAATCACAGCCCTTCCCCCGGCATGTATGCAAAAATGATCAAACGCCAGCTTGAAATCCGGGATATAAGGCTTGACATTCGACTTGAACAGCTTGTTAACCACAATTGAAGAAAAGAAAAGAAGCTGCTCGCTTATCGGAAGCACAATAGGTCCCAAAGTGGTAATGTTGGTCTTAAGCGCCCCACCGGCAATTGCCATCAAATCTTTGGACAAGGACACACCAGTCTTCCCCTTATCATCCTGCTCCTGGTAAACACAACGAAAAGCTTTATCATCCGCGCCACGATGTGTCCTCACGACATGAACAAGCTTGTACTTAGCCCGTCTCCTATCCACGGACTTGTTGGAAAGCAAAACTGCGGAACCTCCAACCCGAAACAAGCAATTGGGTATCAACATAGACTTCTTATTCCCAAAATACCAATTCTGAGTAATGTTCTCAGTGCTAACAACAACCGCATAAGTGTTCCTATGGATTTGCAACAAGTCCTTAGCAAGATCAACAGCTATGACCCCAGCACTGCAACCCATTCCCCCCAAATTGAAACTCCTAATATTACCCCTCAATTTGTACTTATTAACAATCATGGCGGAAAGCGACGGCGTCGGATTAAACAAGCTGCAATTCACAACGAGAATCCCAATGTCCTTCGGCTTCACATGGGTATTGGCGAACAGATTGTCCAAAGCACCATACATCACCTGCTCCGCCTCATCCCTGGCGGCGGCCATCGAAGGCCGGGGAGGGATGTAATGCATCGCCTCCGGGACATAAGTCTCCTCGCCGAGGCCGGACCGCTCGAGAATCTTGCGCTGGAACTCTAGCGACGAGTCGTCGAAGTCCTGGGTGAGGCGGGAGTGCTCCATGAAGCGCTGGTAAGGGGCCTTGAGGTGATCGGGCGGCCGGTAGCAGGCGTAATCGACCAAGTAAACGGGTCTGGGTCGGGTCATGATGTAGACGGTCAACCCGAAGACGAGGACGGCGGAGCAGATGATGACGGAGACAAGATTGTACTGGAGGTGGAGCCAGAGTTGTTGAATGTCGTAAATGTCCATTTGGGAGGCTTCGATTAGGGTTACGATAATCAACGGGATGAAGCAGAGGGTTAAGAGATTAGAGATCAAGTAATGGTACCCTAATTTCACGTACTTGAGATTAACGCTCTGGAGGAAATCGGGAAGCCGTCGGTTTTGGTGGATCTGGACCCCGACCTGACCGTCCCCTCCCGGCGCGGTGGCGACATCGGTTGCGCAGCCTGGGTCCATGGCCGGTGTCTCCGCTTCCGGGGTATGTGTGAGAAAGGTCGTTGCTCTCTGTTTTCTTGGAGACGACCGAGCGAGAGCGTTTTGAGAAATTAATACAATAATGGTGGCCGTGAGGGTGGGGTGCGGCGGAGAACGGAGTAGTAGGAGGTTTCCGAGCTCCGATAGGGAGTGGGGAGGGTTTTGTCTTGTGTGGTGGTGTGGGAGATGAGATCATGAAGAGGGAGTTGAGAAATGGGGGAGTGAATGATTTTGACGGTTAAATAACCGTTACGTGGGAAAACTGGGAATATACGAATAGCTGGTTCTCGAAGGACGGCGGGCCTTGACTAATCAATAATTTTTATTTTATTTTTTTTCAAAACCGTTTTCTTTGGATAAACTTGTTTAATACAATTTTAGATGAGCCTTGCCTTAATAGACCATCTTTAATTGAAATGTTAAGTTATAAGAGTTAAATTACAATTAATGGTTGGTTGATGTGTCAATTTTTATATTTTTCCAACCGAATTGTTTATTTTCTTATTTAAATAGAGCTTTTAATAATTGTAATTATTAAAAAAATGTTAAAACAAAAGTTTATTTGGTAGAAATGTTAATTGAATAAGGGACTCACCGTTAACATGAATTAAAAATAAAATTGATATTGATGTCAAATTTGGGTTGGATAGACTTTTGATGTTAAATATACAAAGTGTCATTCCAATTAGGATTTTGACAACTCATTTGAAGATGCTTTTAGACATCATTGATACTTCCGTACACACGAGTATGTCATTGTGTCATCTGAATAAATAACACAGTGTCATGTATAAAAGTTAAATTGAATAAAATTGCGATATTTGTCAGATGAGAGGGAGTATGCGAGGTTTTTTTTTCTTTTCTTTTAAATCAAAGGATTAGGCACGTTAATTTTTTTGTACTTTGACCCGT